AGCATTATTTCGACTAGTTATGCTGTACACAGACACAAAAAAAATCAATACAGTCATCACTTCGTTCAGAATCTAAAAAAAAACACACATCATTGTAAAATCAATACATTCATCACTTCGTTCAGAATCTAAAATGGTTTAGAAATATTTAATACGAAATTTGAATTTCTTTATATTTATTATAGGTATACTAATATCGTTGATTATAAATACTAGGATTTATAATCAATACTTATACGTAGGTCGTAAATATATATTTTCCTCGTGTTTTTCAAAGTTAAAATAATGAAAATATTAATAATTTATATAAATAATAATGTTTAGATAACGAGCGGAGCGATGAATGTTATGAATAATGATTTTAGAATAATGTGTGTGTGTTTTTGTATATACCAATATACCTGTATGTTAAAATAAAATTTAAATGTTGACAAAATTTGTCAAAATCTCGAAAATTTGGAAATTAATTTCTATCAATTATTAATTGACGTTATTATAACTATACAATATATTTTTGAATAAAATATTAAATTGACAAACACTAAKTATTAAAAAATAATTATTTTAATTAATACCAACTGTCTATACCTAATGAGTTTATACAGATATTTGGCTACTGGTTCTAACTTTTCCACTCTACACTTTGAATTTTTAATTGGAATATCCACAATATTAATTATTGTACGTGAAACTTGTGAGGTTATATGGAACATATTACAGCCAATCGAAATGTCATCAGAACCAACTACTGATGATTGGTTAGACATAGCAGCTGAATATTTTGAGAAAGCCCAATTTCCAAATTGCGTTGGCGCCATAGACGGCAAACATATACGTTTAGAATGTCCTAAAAACACTGGAACATTCTATTATAATTATAAACAATATTTTTCACTCATCCTGAYGGCGATTTGTGATTCTAATTACTGTTTTATAATTATAGATGTGGGTTCTTATGGTAAAGAAAGTGACTGTAATGTCTTTAAACAATCAGTGTTTGGTAAAAAATTATACGATTATAGTTTAAATTTGCCACCTAAAWTTTGTTTACCTGGTGATGATAACGGCGTTCCTCTTCCATATGTTTTCGTCGCCGATGAAGCTTTCGCGTTACATCCAAATTTGTTACGACCTTTTCCGGGCAGGTCATTAAACGACGACAGGAGGATTTTTAATTATAGGTTATCAAGAGCTCGACAACACATAGAATGTTCTTTCGGAATAATGACAAAAAAATTGAGAGTTTTTCAAACAAGTATACTGGTTGAACCCAATTTCGCTGTCACTGTGACAAATGCTACACAATTTGGTTCGACGTAGCTGAGATGGCATCAACAATGATGACATCTTTAGTTGTGCAATGGACGATTTAACAAATCAAAGAGGTACGGGAAATTCGTCAACAAATGCCAAATAAGTTTTAGAACACTTTGTTAAGTATTTCAATAATCCGCAACATGCACTTAAAGGCATACACAATCCAAAAAAAAAATTYTTTTTTATGCTTGGTTTTTATACTTAATGGTATAAAAAAATATATCATGAAAACAGAATGTGAAAAAAAAAATTATTTACAGAGTTACGGTGAAATCCAAATATACCTGTGACGTCATTGCGTCGGACGT